ATACGGGAACATACGGCAACATACGACAACATACAAACAACAGACAAAGAAGAAGTTTGGCATGGTTCTACTAGATTGCAAAAAAATTGTAACTCCAGTCCACCAGAAAAGGACCCGTGAAGGTTCGGGTTAGAATGAGCGTTTGGTAACCCATGCTCGTCGTAAGAGGCGACTAACCTGATCGGGTGGTCAGGCTCGCTAACTTGGTTGACACATGTCATCCGTTCCCAATTGCGCAGATCGATGCTCATGCTGTTGATCACTGGAGTGTCTGGTCCAGACTTGATTATTTCCAGACCGCCACCATATAGCTGGAATATTGCGGAGTGCGGCGTAAAACTAAACTCACTCACTCCACTACTAGAAAAGAACCTTCCATACAAGAAAAAGAGCTGTATGTATGTTTGTGTGTCTGTATGTCTGTGTGTCTGTCTGTCTGTGTAAGTATGTTTGTGTGTCTGTATGTCTGTCTGTCTGTGTATGTATGTATGTGTGGGTGGGTGGGTGGGGGTGTGTATATACATCGAGGGTGTCTCCTTCAGGGTATGTTCACATTATTTTTCTATCACTTCTATAAGGTAATTAGCTATGTGTGATTTAGGTATCACACCTATGGTCATTCAGGTTGATCATTTATCATTTATATCTTAAATTGTAACAACTATGTTGCTTTTATGTATTAGTAATAATAATAAGTAGTAGTAATAATAAGTCACTTATAAGGAGCTATATAGTTATGTCTAACTGAACAGATTAATATATACGAGGCACATAAAGAAACTGTGCATACAAAAATTTAAAATCTAAATTTATTAAACCCGTGTAGACACATAAGGATTTAAACTCAGAGATAAGTGACATGTAACCAACATGCATGCACGTGCCACGTTCCGTGACGTCAGTGGGTTCGTCCTTGAGACGTGCAATACGTTGTTGCACGTGCATTCCGGGAAAGAGAAACAGAGCAAATGAATGCCACACAATACTGTCACTTTGGAAAGCTCAACCCCTGCCCTTGCGATCGTTAAAAAAAACTACACAGCTATTGAAACGCATAGCATGTCAAGGCTCACGTCTGCACAACGTCATGAGGCCATTGGGATAGTCCGTGGGGGAATGTCTCAACCACAAGTGGCTGCACATTTCCACTGCCATCGGAACACCATTTCTGCACTGGTGAGACGCTACCAAAACACAAATGACGTCATCGATCGGCCACGTTCTGGACGTCCACGTGTAACAACGCCAAGACAGGACACATGCATAAGGGTGACCCATCTTCGCCACAGGTTTCAGACTGCAGTGATGACTGCCCGAACCATCCCAGGACTTCGCCGTATCCACCCCAACACAGTTCGACAACGTTTACGTCATCACGGGATCAGACTACGACGTCCCGCCATACGGCCTATCCTGACACAACGTCATCGACAAGCTCGCCGAATGTGGTGCCGAAATCATGTCCGCAGACCCTTGTTTTGGTGGAGAAATGTTGTTTTTACATATGAGTCCAGGTCTAACATTTCCCATAGTGATGGACGTCAACGTGCTTGTAGACGCGTGGGAGAACGTTATGCACAGGCGTGTGTCTTGGAGAGGAATCGCTTTGGTGGTGGTTCCGTGATGATTTGGGGTGGAATAACAGCACGCCAAAGAACTCCTTTGGTGATTGTTCAGGGCAACTTAACTGGTGTGGGCTACAGGGATCAGATTCTTCAACCTGTGGCAATTCCTTTTCTGCAACGTCATAGCCCTGGGTTAACATTCCAACAGGACAATGCCCGCCCTCATACGGCAAGGGTTGCTATGGATTTCTTGCAACACCACAACGTTGACTTACTGCCTTGGCCTGCAAATTCACCGGATCTCTCCCCGATAGAGAATGTTTGGGACGAGATGGATCGACGTCTACGCCGTCTTCCTCATCCGCCAGATAATGTCCTTGACCTTGCAACAGAACTTGAGAGAATCTGGCGTGACATCCCACAAGCCTTCCTTGCACGTTTGATAGGCTCTATGCGTCGTCGATGCACTGCTGTTCTCAATGCCGATGGTGGACATACCCGTTATTGAGCTTGTGACATGGTCGTTTGACCCCTGTCCCGCTTGTGGACTCGTGACGTCATTGTGATTGACTTTTCAATTGAAATTCTCCCGACTTGTTATGGTCTCATGATCCCTCCATTAAAGTTTATATGTACCTTTGACATTGTTATCGTACTTATCAACTGGGATAATATTTTGACAATGCACAGTTTCTTTATGTGGCTAGTATATATATTATACGTCTTTGTATTTTTAATTTCAGGGTGATTGACTGAGTGATTGATCGATTGATTATACTATGGATTAATGTCAGCTCCAAACACACACGACGAAGCTTATGACTCCCCCCTGCAACACGTAGGACTCTTATCCAATTGTTCATCACCACTGTATTGTACATTGACTGTCGGCCATCTCGAGATGATTCTCGATTGGTAAACAAGTACAGAAGCTTTAAGCTGTTTCTATGTATAGGTTGCAGTCATTCGTGCCATGAGCCACCGGGCAGTTAGATTCGGGTTTGGTTTGGTTGTTGTTTAACGCCGCACTCAGCAATATTTCATCAATATCGCGGCGGTCTGAAGATAATGGAGTCTTGACCAGACAACACCGTAATCAACAGCATGAGCATCGATTTGCTCGATTGACATACGATGATGACATGTGCCAACCAAGTCACAGTTAGAACTATGTAAATATACGTTTAGTTTTTGAAGTATCCGTGATTGATGCTCTGAACAGTTCCCCCAGATATGGCGGCACAAGACGTGAAACGTGGCACAATAAACGACGTGCCTAAAGTTTCTCATGTTCCTACTTCAACAATAAACAATATTTAAACCCTCTGAGACAATATTATTATTCCTTTGATAAACTAACTAATTCACTGATATGCTTGCTCGTCAGAAATAATGCCTGAGTATTCGAAAATTCACTTTCTAGATTCTAGTCGTTCCTTGCAAGTGTTGTGGACTTGGGTTCTGGGTATGGGGAACTGGATGAATTCAATTCAGTTCCGTCCAGAAAAATATTCCATTCAAATATAAATAAGTAGGCAATACGTTTTACAGGTGTCTGTTTATTCACGATCGATCATAAATGATGAAGATCTGCAATGAGAGTAAACACATCATGTATAACATGGGTAATTTAAGTAACATATAATGCTCTAAAATCAACATTTGGTTTCCAGCAGTGGGGCAGATCTTCCACACATAGTCTGAAAAAGGTCGGATGTTACTTTTAACGTCTTCAACAATTACATATATTGACCTATCATAGAAGAAATGCCTGACATATTTGTCAATACATTTCAGAAAATAATTTATTGAATAATGAAGGTTTAGGTGCCATTTCTGGTCTCACACCATAGCTCCATGAATAATTACCTTTTGAACTCTGTGCTTTCTAATTAATAATTCTCGGATCATTTCCCAATATGAATTTTGTTTGTGGCTTGTCGCCTTGTGCCAAAATTTACTGATCTTACACAGAATGTTCTAATTCGTGCCAAGTTTCATGTCATTACCTACACCACGTGTGGTAAAGGCGTAACATTTGCCTGATTTCCCCGGAATCAAGTGGCATATTGCCAGATTTTAGATTAATCAACAGATTTCTAACTTAAAGTGCACAACAATGAGAATTGCTTAACGTGGTGATTATGCAGACACAGACAAGCACGCACGCATACGTGTACAATATATATAAACCCAGTACATGTCAGGTAACTGGGTAAATTGAATAAAGCTGGTCTTGGAGCATTAGAGGTGCAGCTTAAGTGTTAACTTCTTACCTGTCTCGCTATCTCATTGGTACGTTTTAACAAAGGGGTGGATTTTACAGGTTTTAACGCTGTTGATCTGAACGTGTTTACAATGGCTGGAAATAATTCAGACACATTCATCCATGGTAATCTTAAAATAGAATTAGCTGGACAGGTTGGATTTCTAGATATCAAGTGGGAAATATTTGTAATTGGGCTAATTCTATGACATGCGCAGCCAAATACAAACGAGCTGCGTAATTGTTACATTACTCTGTTCAATACCACGATATAATGGAGATTGGTGTGACAATTAAGATGTCATGAAGTAAGACGTCACTGTCGGTGTTCCTCTTTCGTGAGAGAACTGAATGAAATGGGTGTACACGCGTGCAAATAGACTCGGCTCTTGTTTTTGTTGCATGTATCAGGCAACAATTTGGTAAGGATTGGCAGTTAAACTAAACCTTTAAACTGGAAACAGTAAGTTAACAAAGTTAATGACAATTTAAAGGGACAGTAAACAATTTTAAGTGGCTCGCTTGGGCTGGCTATTGTGTATTGGTGCATTAGGTTATTGTGGCAAAAACTTGTCCAGTAAGCTGAAATAGAGATTTAGGAAAGCTGAATTGTGAAGAATATGATGTTTAAAAGATACTTAATTAATTAAAGATATTTAATTCAGTTGAAGATTAAAAACTCCCAAAATATTTACAAACATTTGATCCCGTCACACACACATGAACCTCTGCAGTGTTATTTTAGCACAATGGTCTCAAATATTCTGTTAATATACTGGTTGTAGCTTCAAGTAGGGCCAAAATATAATGAGGCTTTTTTTTCTTTTTGCTTGATTGTTTACTGGCCCTAATAGCCATGCAGTTAATGTCAATAAACATGACGTGTGCCATTTCGTCTTTTACGGTCAACCAAGGGGAATTACTCTAATGGCTCCATCTTGATTTCCTGTTCGTAATAAAAAAAATATGTTTCGGGAGGCTAAGACGACGTTAATACATTCTCAAACTGTGTGCAGGGAGGCTCTGAACTTATACAATTATATTGGAACCTAATTTCATTTAGATGCAGAGAATGTGACGTTTCTCACATATAAGTCCTTATATAGTATAAGAAACGTGACGCGATACACATGACTTCTGACGTCACAGAAAGACTGCGCCCGGCAACCACGTATACACCGAGTCGAGCGTTCCTCGTCAAGATAGTTCATCAATATTGGTGTACAGCATATAAAGATGAACGAGCTTACCAGAGCCTGACCATGGACGTCAGGTAAGAGTGTTTGTCAATCATGTGATTCCCAGTGTCTCTCGCAGTTTGTCGTTGGACCCGAATAAAATATGTGTTCAGGCTTTTATGTGACATACACCACGACGACGTGGAACGTTCAGGCTATCAACCACTGCTGTACAATGTTCTCTGCCGTACACCACTGCCATGTTACACGTGCTCAATGATGGACAAGGAACAGCCTTAGAAATCTCCCGCTCTCGCTCTTAGGGCCGACATTGATTACTTTTCTGAGATGTAGAATTTAAGAATTGCATTTTATGTTTTATTGAAAAGGACTTTAGAGCGATGCATTGTGTGACTGAATTTATACACGTAGTTCTAGACATATTTCTGTCGCTGGCTGCATGGAGTTGACGTGTTTGTAATGATAAGCCGTAGTATGGACTTGTTTGTATCCACCATGATACTGAAACCATTCCTAATTGATGGATGATTGTGGTATGGAATTGTCTCATGGCAGAGGACGATCTACAGCAGTCGTTTTGTTTGGCCTCCATTATGTTAGTAAATATACATGACAGCAATACTCAATTTGTTTTTCCTGTTTCTCAGCCCTACTGCATGCACCATTAAGGAATATAATATGCAGTAAGTATCTTGTATGCCCAATAACATAATGTATTTTGACTACATATTTTACAACTACAACTTGACTGCTATGGCCGCTAGTCTTGATGAACAGATAATTTTAGCCTTCTCCAGAGCACAATTGAATTGGTTTCTGATTTTATTTACACAAGAACTCAAATCACTTTGTTCATCCCCAAAATTTCACCAGGCCAGGGGATCACCATTTATCAAAGGTAACTCAAACCAGCAGGCCTGTGTTAGTAACTAGTTATGCATGCATCATTGTGTAGTATCATGAACATGCTAGGACAATACAGTGGAAACTGTAGCTGGGCAAGTTGTCAACACTGGCATAAAATCTCAGTCCCATCCGTGGCTAGTACATTTATCATCATTTAAAAGCTGTCAATTCCAGATCTCGGCATGAAATGAGCCGCCCGAATATAGGTTTATACAGTAATCAGCGCTGTCTAATCCGGTGTGTGGTGAGGAGTTAGTTGGATATGTATTGTCACCAATTAATCCTGCCTTGAAACTACATGCTTGCGGACAAAATTAATTATCCCCCGCAACGCGTTTTGCGGGGGGTATTAAAATGGACTCCGTCCGTGCGTGTGCGTGCGTGCGTCCGTGCACATTTGTCTTTTCCGGAGCAGAACTCTAAAACCATTCGCTATTTCTTCACCAAACTTGGCACATACATTGATCTGGTGGTGCACTGGTGCCTTTTGGCAGTTTTGGAATTCTGAATAAAATATTTTTGGCGTTTCCATGGCAACAAGTTCGACTTAGACTGAAATTGGTGGTAGTGCTCTTTTCCCTAGCAGAACTCTCAAACCGTTCACTATTTCTTCACCAAACTTGGCACATACATAGATCTGGTGGTGTACTGGTGCCTTTTGGCAGTTTTGGAATTCTGAATAAAATATTTTTGGCGTTTCTATGGCAACAAGTTTGACTTAGACTGAAATTGGTGGAGTGCTCTTTTCCGGAGCAGAACTCTCAAACCGTTAACTATTTCTTCACCAAACTTGGCACATAGATTGGTCTGGTGGTGTACTGGTGCGTTTTGGTAGTTTTGGAATTCTGAATAAAATATTTTTGGCGTTTCCATGGCAACAAGTTTGACTTAGACTGAAATTGGTGGTAGTGCTCTTTTCCGGAGCAGAACTCTCAAACCGTTCACTATTTCTTCACCAAACTTGGCACATACATAAATCAGGTGGTGTACTGGTGCCTTTTGGCAGTTTTGGAATTCTGAATAAAATATGTTTGGCGTTTCCATGGCAACAAGTTTGACTTAGACTGAAATTGGTGGTAGTGCTCTTTTCCGGAGCAGAACTCTCAAACCGTTAACTATTTCTTCACCAAACTTGGAACATAGATTGGTCTGGTGGTGTACTGGTGCCTTTTGGTAGTTTTGGATTTTTTAATAAAATATTTTTGGCATTTCCATGGCAACAAGATTGACTTAGACTGAAATTGGTGGTAGTGCTCTTTTCCGGAGCAGAACTCTAAAAACGTTTACTATTTCTTGACCAAACTTGGCGCATACATAGATCTGGTGGTGTACTGGTGCGTTTTGGTAGCTTTGGAATTCTGAATAAAATATTTTTGGCGTTTCCATGGCAACAAGTTTGACTTAGACTGAAATTGGTGATAGTGCTCCTTTCTGGAGCAGAACTTTAAAAACCGTTCAATGCTCTCCTTCCACTTTTCTATATACACACCTAAATATTTGACATAATCATGACTCGTAGACATTATCATGAAGAGTATTTTCCCATTGCGGGGGATATTGATGACTTTGTCTTCTTGTTTAATCTTAGTTCAATATTGGTATACTTGTACATGTAATTAGTGAGTTGAGAGAGAAATTGAGAGAACCAGGTTATACAACAATGTATATGAGAGTGATAAAACTTGGTTCAGTTCTAGTTGTAGGTAACGGTGTCATCTCTACAATCCCGTACGCTGTCTAAACCGGATTATTATACAGCAATTATGGTACAGTGGAATCTGTCAAATCCGGACTGTGTGTACTTTCATTCAGCATGAGGTTGACTTATATACTATCAAAAATTAGTAGAAGATACTTGGATAAAATAAATAAAATAAAATGAATACTGATTTCTAGTAATAGCTCATGCTGATAAGCGGTACATATTGAGAACAAATGACAAACAGTATGACAGTTGGACTGATCTTATGAGACAAGAGGTATGATGGAATATGTAGTAGATGGGATTAGTAGTATGTAGTACCATGAACCCTGAAAATATCATTATGTGTCCATGGTAATACAGTCATGATTTGTCAAACACTCATTCATTCTACAAGGCATACTGGGTATCTTGAAATTTTGATTTGAGAGAGTTTGTTCTACTCCTCTTGAAGTGCCTGGCCAGTGTAGTTGTCAGCCAATGACACACACATCTTCCTGTTATGTATTCAGTGGGGCAATTATCTGGGCTTACTGCTGTTCATGGCATTCTATGGATGTTGTGCTGCTGGACGCATTAATGATTTATGCATGTTAAGCTCAGGTGTAGACTAACAACTAGTCTCTGAAATGAACATATTTTACTGAAAAAAACGTTCATAGTAAAAAAATATATATATAATAAAAAGGAGCCCTCAGACTTTCTTCATTTTCAGGAGCTGAGGAAATCTAGACTTGCCACATTTTCTAGACTTGCATGGGCTTTCTTGGATATATTTGCTTCAGGGTCTGTACGAGAGACTAGCTCAGGTGCTGTGGTCTTGAAAGAAAGAATTTAGACACTTGGATACTGCATGTTGTCCTGATAGTACGCAGAAGATGGAGTGGAGTTCAGTCAGTAAAAGTGATGTCCCTCTTAAAGTCTGATTATAACACTCTGTGAAACATTAAATGTACTGGCTTCTGCACACTGACTTGTTCCAGTGTGCAAGTGATGCATGAAATCAAGAGAATCAGATCTGAATGATAATGGCCTTAAAATGTCAAAATCAGGAATAACACCCAACACACGTTTTTTTGCAATGGTATGTGGCAGATGTGAACAATAGGATGTGTTTTGGTTTGAGATTTTACAGAAATAATAATTCTTGCATAGAGTGTTTGTTTGTTGGATGCTATCTTTGTTTTTTAGCATTTGTTATTAACATCTTTATTTCATGATCTCCTGTAATTACTATCTAAGGCCTCATGTTCTCTAACAGATTAAGCTGTAGTAGCCAGACTTCAATGGAGGACATAGTCCTTGGAACAGCGGCAGAAGCTAGCCCTGGACATGAAAAGACAGCTGAATTATCAGATTTTGTCCCATCAGCAGACAGGTACAGTTATAGTCTGTAATTAGTCAGTTAATAACCTTTCTAAGGATTTTGATCTTCCAGTATGAGTAGTTAAAGTCACACAAAATTGCACTGAGTGCTGTATATAAGATTCAGGCACACTCATTCTTTTATATTTGCAAAACAACTTTCATGTACATTGACATTTTGATGAGGTATCCTTCAATTCATTTAAATATTTTTCTTGTCAGACTACCACCTCACTCTATGGGTGCTGACTATCGAAGTGTTGAAACACCACTCTCAATTCCATCCGCAAGTGAGAGCAACAACTTTGCCTCTACACCATCAGCAAGTGTGAAGAATATCTCTCCCACTACACCATCCGGAAGTGAGGGCAATAACTCACCCCTAGCACCATCAGCAAGTAAGAGCAACAACTGTGCCCAAGCACCATCAGCAAGTGAGGGCAACAACTGTGCCCCAGCGACATCCGCAAGTGAGGGCAGCAACTTTGTTCCAACACCATCAGCAAGTGAGAGCAACAACTTTACCCCAAGACCATCAGCAAGTGAGAGCAACAACTTTCCCCCTACTCCATCAGGAAGTGATAGCAACAACTTTGCTCCAACATCATCAGCAAGTGAGAGCAACAACTTTCCCCCTACTCCATCAGGAAGTGATAGCAACAACTTTGCCCCAAGACCATCAGGAAGTGAGGGCAACACCTTTGCTCCAACACCATCAGCAAGTGAGAGCAACAACTTTGCCCCAAGACCATCAGCAAGTGAGAGCAACAACTTTACCCCAAGACCATCAGCAAGTGAGAGCAACAACTTTACCCCTACTCCATCAGGAAGTGATAGCAACAACTTTGCTCCAACATCATCAGGAAGTGAGAGCAACAACTTTCCCCCTACTCCATCAGGAAGTGATAGCAACAACTTTGCTCCAACATCATCAGAAAGTGAGGGTGATCACTTCATCCCTACACCATTAGCAACCAAGAGCATACTATGTGTTGCTGCAACAAAAGGAAGTGAGAACAACACACAAGACACTGCACCAAAGGCAGCTTTCAGAATTGTACTTGTTGCCAAACGGAAAGCTTCTGGGTGCAAGAGACATTTCATTTCAGCAAAATCATGTGAGAATAATACAGATAAAGCTTCACCCAAACCAGCAGTCATCAAAAGTATTGCCATCAAAAGAAAGGCAGTTATGGAAAGTTGGTGTGCTAAGTTTCCATCCGAAAGTGACAGCTGTGATAGCATCACATATGATGCCCAAACACAAACAGGAAACAGGATCTTGGCATATGATCGAGGGTTATCATCACTTGATGACAAGGATTGTGTTGCAAAACCTTCAGTAAGTGAGAGCATCACTCATGCCCTAACCTCTTCTACAAGTGAAAGCAGCAACTTTCCCCCTACTCCATCAGCAAATGAGGGCGACAACTTTGCTCCAACACCATCAGCAAGTGCAAGCAACAATTTTACCCCAACACCATCAGCAAGTGAGAGCATCACTTATGCTCCAACCCCTTCAGCAAGTAAGAGCAACAACTTTCCCCCTACTCCATCAGGAAGTGAGAGCAACAACTTTCCCCCTACTCCATCAGGAAGTGATAGCAACAACTTTGCTCCAACATCATCAGAAAGTGAGGGTGATCACTTCATCCCTACACCATTAGCAACCAAGAGTATACTATGTGTTGCTGCAACAAAAGGAAGTGAGAACAACACACAAGACACTGCACCAAAGGCAGCTTTCAGAACGATACTTGTTGCGAAACGAAAAGCATCTGGCCACACCACAAATGTCATTTCAACAAAATCAAGTGAGAATAATACAGATAAAGCTTCACCCAAACCAGCAGTCATCAAAAGTATTTCTGTCAAAAGAAAAGCAGTTATGGAAAGTTGGGGTGCCAAGTTTCCAACCGAAAGTGACAGCTGTGATAGCATCACATATGATGCTCCAACACAAACAGGAAACAGGAACTTGGCATATAATCGAGGGTTATCATCACTTGATGACAGGGATTGTGTTGCAGAACCTTCAACAAGTGTGAGCAATACCTTTCCCACTACACCATCCGGAAGTGAGGGCAATAACTCACCCCCAACTCCATCAGCAAGTGATAGCAACAACTTTGCCTCTGCACCATCAGCAAGTGTGAGCAATACCTTTCCCTCTACACCATCCGGAAGTGAGGGCAATAACTCACCCCCAACACCATCAGTAAGTGAGAGCAACATCTTTGCCTCTTCACCATCAGCATGTGAGGGCAACAACTTTGCTCCAACACCGTCAGCAAGTAAGAGCCACAACTTTGACCCAGCACCATCAGCAAGTGAGAGCAACAACTTTGCCTCTACACCATCAGGAAGTGAGGGAAACAACTTTGCCCCAACATCATCAGCAAGTGAGAGCAACAACTTTGCCCCAACACCATCAGCAAGTGAGGGCCACAACTCTGTCCCAACTCCATCAGCAAGTGAGAGCCACAACTTTGCCCCAACATCATCAGCAAGTGAGGGCAACAACTCTGCTCCAACATCATCGTCAAATGAGCACAAATTTGCCAAAACATCATCAGGAATTGAGGGTGACAACCTTAATCCTACATCATCAGCAAGTGAGAGCAACAACTTTGCCCCAACTCCATCAGCAAGTGAGAGCAACAATTCTGCCCCAACTCCATCAGCAAGTGAGAGCAACAACTTTGCTTCAACACCATCATCAAGTGAGGGCCACAACTTTGCCCCAACACCATCAGCAAGTGAGAGCAACAACTCTGCCCCAACACCATCAGCAAGTGAGAGCAACAACTTTGCCTCTACACCATCAGCAAGTGAGAGCAACAATTCTGCCCCAACTCCATCAGCAAGTGAGAGCAACAACTTGGCTTCAACACCATCATCAAGTGGGGGCCACAACTTTGCCCCTGCTCCATCAGGAAGTGAGAGCAACAACTTTAACTCAAAATCATCAGCAAGTGAGGGCAATTTTGCACCAACATCATCAGCTTATGGAGACAAAAACTTTGCCCCAACATCATCAGCAACTGAGGGCAACAAGTATGCCAATGCACCATCATCAAGTGAAGGCAGTGTCTTTGAAAGTGACAACACCACTCAAGACAGTGCCCCAAAATTACAAACAGCTATTCTTACTACACTTACCAACTCACACAGAGGGCTTTTCTCTTACAGAAACGTTTCTTTACCAACATCAGCTGTCAACTACAGGTGTATTGCCTTACAAAAAGCAGCTGTCAGCACCACAAGTACCACCTCACAAAAAGCAGCTGTCACTACCACCATTATTGCCTCACAAAAAGCAGCTATCAGCACTACGGGTACCACCTCACAAAAAGCAGCTATCAGCACAAGGACCACCTCACACAAAGCAACTGTCAGCACTACTGGTACCAACTCACAAAAAGCAGAAGTTCGCACCACGAGTACCAACTCACAAAAAGCAGAAGTTCGCACCACGAGTACCACCTCACAAAAAGCAGAAGTTAGGACCACAAGTACCACCTCACTAAAAGCAGAAGTTAGGACCACAAATACCACCTCACTAAAAGCAGAAGTTAGGACCACAAGTACCACCTCACACAAATCAGCAGTCAGCAGGGGATGTGGTTCCTCGCACAAATGTGATGCCTTTCAAGAAACAGCTGTTGGCACTTCATGTTCCACCATACCAAAAGATATATTTGAAGAAGTCCCCATCACCCATGCTGCCTCACCAAAAGCAGACACCAGCAGCAGTAGTTCTGAAAATACAGCAAGTGACAGCATTGCACAGGAGGAATTGTGCAGGGGTAATGATTGCTATATTTATGTACTGAAATGACAGACTGATAAAAATATGTAGCAGTAGAAACAAAGGAAGTAGTTCAACCAGTTTGGGGGTTGTGGTAGCATCTGAAGATGGTGAGGTAACTTTGGCTGAGTGAGGGTTAGGACTGAGGGTTATTTGTAATTGTCTCGGTTAAGGAAGAGCAGAGATATGGTTCAAAGGAGGAAGTGTTTGTTTCATATTGGTGATATTGAAAGGGGATCATGATTTGTGAGAAAAGAACATATATTGTGTTTAAAGATTGGTATTGAGGAAAGAGAGAAACATGCTTTGTGAACTATGGAGCATGTGTATGCCAGAATCTATTGTCAGAACCGGAAGGGTGGGGATAAACTTCAGTACATAAGTGTCTTTTCATTATGATGTGAAAGTAAATACATGTGTAGATGAGATCCTCAAATATCTTAATGTATTAGAAAGTGATATTTTAGGTCTTTGACCTTTTATTACTTGACTAAGAAAACTTTAGAAAATATGAGGGAAACATATTTTTAGTTTAAAGCTTTTGTAATTATGACCAAAACTGAAAACCGTCCAAAACCAAATATTGTTACTTTGTGTTTCTCTATCAAATGCTCCTGTAATTGTTCACACAAAACTTGAGAAGTAGGCAGTGTGTGGCTTTGTTACAGAGTACACTTCAAGTTCATAACCATTTCAACATCTCAGTCACGTTTCACAAAACACTGGGGATACCTGGTTAGAATTAAGCCCCGGATAATAGCAACTTACTGGATCAGGTGATCAGGCTCAGTACCTGGCTGATATTGTATCATCGTACCCCCAAGGTATGGATCGTTGTTCATAATATCAATCACTGTATTGTTTGTTCCTGATAATATTCTTTACTGAGTCTGACTACTTCCAAATAGCTGATATATTGCTGAGTGTGGAGCTGCAAACAAACAAACCAATAAACAGAACACTTTTCACACAAATTCAGTGAGAAAAATACTTTATTCATGTCCAAATAATTCTTTCAGGGGTTGCTGCTAGGAAAAAGACAAGCATCCCCAATCGGATTCGCTGGGTATGTACCCCATTTTTATGTAACTGTTTTTTTAACCATGATAATGATTTTGACATTCTGTATCTATGAACTATGCATCACATTTATTTCAGGAAAGGAGGTAAGCCATGAAATAAGGTCACCAACAAGTAAACTGTTTTGGTCTGAATAAGGTGTCACTTGTTTTTTACTATAACTGTAAGTTTTGCTCTATGGTGGTTACAGGTTGGAATAGGTCCCCCTCATCCTCTGCTTGTCACACCAAGCAATTAAAGTAATCGAGTCGTCAGACTCAGTGAGTTGGTTAATTGCCTGTCATCTTATTCTGACAGTGAGGGACATTCCTCATTATATCAATAACTGGATTGCCCAGACTTGGTAATTATTTACAGGCTGCCATCATACAGATTCAATATGTTTGACTGCAGTATTTAAGAACAAAAAGTGCATGTTTATGATATGATGAAGTGCAAACTCCAAAATGATGATACATTATATAACAAGCTGAGTTTTAGACATTTCGTTTTTTCAGGCCTTTTCAAGACTCTTACGTCCGTTTAGATCCTGCTTTGGACGCCACTAAATTCAAAGTTAAACGTATTGTCACCGTTCTCCTACAACCGTTGGCAAGACAAATCATGTGTGTTAGGTAAGTGAAGAGTATACAGGTGTGTTCAGGATATATTTTCATGTAATTTTAGTTTAATTCTGATGGAGGAAAGGTTGAGGTGTAGAAATTTTGCTGGATGAGATGGTTACGGTGAAGAACAAGTGCTTGGTTGAAAGTTTGCGGTGCAGACCTATTGCTTGATGGGAGGGTTGAGGTGTAGACCTTGTGTTTGATGGGAAGGTTGAGGTGTAGAACTAGTGCTTGATGGGAGGGTTGAGGTGTAGAACTAGTGCTTGATGGGAAGGTTGAGGTGTAGAACTAGTGCTTGATGGGAGGGTTGAGGTGTAGAACTAGTGCTTGATGGGAGGGTCGAGGTGTAGACCTATTGCTTGATGGGAGGGTTGAGGTGTAGACCTATTGCTTGATGGGAGGGTTGAGGTGTAGACCTATTGCTTGATGGGATGGTTGAGGTGTAGACCTATTGCTTGGTGGGAGGGTTGAGGTGTAGACCTATTGCTTGATGGGAGGGTTGAGGTGTAGACCTATTGTTTGATGGGATGGTTGAGGTGTAGACCTTGTGCTTGATGGGAGGGTTGAGATTCAGGACAGGAGGGTGATGAGAGGTGCAGGACCATGAACTAGGGGTGGGGGAGAGGGGGAATTTTGAAGGAATAAATTGAGTTCTTTTTAAAAAAATGAAAACATTAAAACCATGTCTCTGTATGGACAGAATGTGTTGTATCTAGTATGTAAAGCAAGTGCTTCTTGCTCTCGGTGTTCATGTTTCTAAATGGGTTTACTTTGGAATAAACTAAATTACTAAATTGCTGTTCCTATCTCCAATTCGTACTGTATAGTCTAATTACATCATACCAGTCTGATATGGAACTGTATCAATGATACAATAGATTCTTTACAAAGTATTTGTGTTACGGGTTTCATTTAGGCATTACAAGAGGCCGCAAAAACCTCATCTTTCAAGGACTACTCAACAGTGTTTACTCTGGTAGGGTTGAGGTGCATGATTCAAAGGTTGAGGTGTATGACAACTGTTTGTAGGGAAGGCTGATATGTATGATGAGCGTTTGATGTGAAGGTTGTGGTGTAGAACATGTTTGATGGGAGTCTTGAAGTGAATGACATGTGTGATGAGAAGGTTGAGGTGTTTGATAAGTGTGTAATGAAAGGGTTGAGTTGTGTGCCATTTGTGGAATAAGGGGGTTGAGGCGTTACACAAATGTGTGACAAGAGGGTTGATGTGCAGGGCAGGTATGTGATACAGACTGAGGTGTTTGACAAGCGCTTGATCTGTGGGATTGTGTGAAATGAACAGTTATGTGTCTTTTATTATATATCACATACACTTCCAAGGAGATACATTTACAAGCTAACATTTGAACACTTTATGTACATACATATACACTAGTTAACATCAGGGTGTTCTTGTATTTCTAGATGATGGAATAAGATTTCCTATATTGCAAACATACACCATAGTCTAATGATGGTGTTTGCATGTCGCTTGCATGATAAAATATTTCTAAATAAATTTGGAAGAGAGAAAAAACCACTGATAAACCCTAAAGATATATTGTTCCAGTGCAATACTTTATGTGGTGTCATTATATTATTCTTCATTTTGTTGTATACTTGAAAAGAAGCTACAATTACGGGATGTATTTAGCACAGTTTATACAAAGTTGAAAAATATCTATAAAATATATTCATTCTACCCCTACCCTCCGAGGAGGGGATATATCAAGAAAGAAACTATGTCTGATGAAATGAAGGCTTTGAAAAAAGCTAAGCCACCACCTGTTTGGTCCTCAAATGATCGTGATCTGTCTGTCTCAGGAATTGCTGATTATTATTTGAATCACAGTCTTTTGAAATAGATATGAGTTATAAAACATATACAAAACTAAATGCATTTAATGCTGCATAAAATATAAACCTGAGAAAACCTTTGAGAATGATTTCCTGATGTAATTATAATTTGTAATATGAAATAGAAAAGACATGATAAAGAATAAAATATTATGAAGAGAATAAATTATGTCCTTTTTTAAATAATGAAAACAGTAACCCATGTCCTCTACATAGAAGCTTGGGCTGTATCTAGGAAGTAATGCATGTAATTCATAAGCAATGAAAGATGAGCTTCCTATTTTATATATATACCCAATGGTCTAATGATGCTCACATTATAAAATATTTCCAAATGAATTTGGAAGAGAGAAAATACACTGATAAACCCTGAAACTATATATAATATTCCAGTGCAATACTTTATGTGGTGTCATTATTTTGTACTTCGTTTTGTTGTATATTTGAAAAGAAGCTACATTTACGTGCTGTATTTAGCACAGTTTATACAAAGTTGAAAAATGTCTATAAAGTATATTCATTCTACCCCCTGATGCGGGGAATATATCAAGAAAGAAAATATATCTAATGAAATGAAAGCATTGAAAAAGGCTAGCTACCACTCATTTTGTCTTAAAATGATTGTGAGCTGGCTAACTGCAAGCATCAAATCCAGCATGTCTATCTCATGAATTGCTGATGGATATTAAATTCACAGTCTGTTGAAATAGATAATACAACATAAAGAAACTAAATGCATTTAATGCTGCATAAAATATAAACCTGAGAAAACCTTTGAGAATGATTTCCTGATGTAATTATCATTAATGTAATATGAAATAGAAAAGACATTATAAAGAAAAAAATATTATGAAGAGAATAAATTATGTCCTTTTTTAAATAATGAAAACAGTAACCCATGTCCTCTACATAGAAGCTTGGGCTGTATCTAGGAAGTAATGCATGTAATTCATAAGCAATGAAAGATGAGCTTCCTATTTTATATATATACCCAATGGTCTAATGATGGTGTCTGTATACAGCTCACATTATAAAATATTTCCAAATGAATTTGGAAGAGAGAAAATACACTGATAAACCCTGAAACTATATATAATATTCCAGTGCAATACTTTATGTGGTGTCATTATTTTGTACTTCGTTTTGTTGTATATTTGAAAAGAAGCTACATTTACGTGCTGTATTTAGCACAGTTTATACAAAGTTGAAAAATGTCTATAAAATATATTCATTCTACCCCCCGAGGAGGGGAATATATCAAGAAAGAAACTATATCTAATGAAGTGAAAGCATTGAAAAAGGCTAACCCACCACCTATTTTGTCTTCAAATGATTGTGAGCTGGCCCACTGCAAGCATCAAATCCAGCATGTCTATCTCATGAATTGCTGATGGATATTAAATTCACAGTCTGTTGAAATGGATAATACAACGTAAACTAAATGCATTTAATGCTGCATAAAATATAAACCTGAGAAAACCTTTGAGAATGATTTCCTGATGTTATTATAATTTGTAATATGAAATAGAAAAGACATGAAATATTATGAAGAGAATAAATTATGTCCTTTTTAAATAATGAAAACAGTAAACACATGTCCCTCTACATAGAAGTGTGTGCTGTATCTAGTAAGTAATGCATGTGCTTGTTACTGTCAGAGTGTTCATTTTTCTAAATGGGTTTACTTTGATTCATAAGTAATGAAAGAAGAGTTCCTATTTTAAATACACCATGGTCTAATGATGGTGTCTGTATACAGCTCACATTATAAAATATTTCCAAATGAATTTGGAAGAGAGAAAATACACTGATAAACCCTGAAACTATATATAATATTCCAGTGCAATACTTTATGTGGTGTCATTATTTTGTACTTCGTTTTGTTGTATATTTGAAAAGAAGCTACATTTACGTGCTGTATTTAGCACAGTTTATACAAAGTTGAAAAATGTCTATAAAGTATATTCATTCTACCCCCTGATGCGGGGAATATATCAAGAAAGAAAATATATCTAATGAAATGAAAGCATTGAAAAAGGCTAGCTACCACTCATTTTGTCTTAAAATGATTGTGAGCTGGCTAACTGCAAGCATCAAATCCAGCATGTCTATCTCATGAATTGCTGATGGATATTAAATTCACAGTCTGTTGAAATAGATAATACAACATAAAGAAACTAAATGCATTTAATGCTGCATAAAATATAAACCTGAGAAAACCTTTGAGAATGATTTCCTGATGTAATTATCATTAATGTAATATGAAATAGAAAAGACATTATAAAGAAAAAAATATTATGAAGAGAATAAATTATGTCCTTTTTTAAATAATGAAAACAGTAACCCATGTCCTCTACATAGAAGCTTGGGCTGTATCTAGGAAGTAATGCATGTAATTCATAAGCAATGAAAAATGAGCTTCCTATTTTATATATATACCCAATGGTCTAATGATGGTGTCTGTATACAGCTCACATTATAAAATATTTCCAAATGAATTTGGAAGAGAGAAAATACACTGATAAACCCTGAAACTATATATAATGTTCCAGTGCAATATTTTATGTGGTGTCATTATATTGTACTTCATTTTGTTGTATATTTGAAAAGAAGCTACATTTAGTGCTGTATTTAGCACAGTTTATACAAAG